CCAGCACCCCAGATGCTTTGCAGCTGTAGGTTGTGCTGTCTGCTGGAACAGAGCAGGGTTGGCCCCGCCCCTCTCCTGCCTAGCCAGAGCACTATTACTGGGTCTTCTGGGTCTACTAAGAAGTAGGTACAGTAGGAAGCCATCTGTGTTCAATTTCTCTCTGTGTCGGCAGTGTGATTTTAACTTCCACATGCAGTGGTTTCTCTGCTAACAACCCATTTAGGCTGAACCTGGGACATCAGGTACAGGGGCTGCAACTTCATCTGTATTTTCAGTTTCAGCAAATCACTGATGGGGATGGCCCTAGCAAAGTTCTGTCCATATGTTTAATTTCCTGTTTGAGCTCTTACTGTGTCCACTGATGAGCAGGCTGCAAGTTTGCTGTTTACTGAATGCCCATGTGGTAGTGTCAGTGTGCCATGTATGGTACTGAGGAACAAATCACCAAGAGCAAATCACAGAACCATTTTGATCATCAGGTTCTGGTCTGTGACACAGGCCAGAAGTTGCTTTCTCCAACAGAAAAGCAGTCAGTGTTAGTTTGCAGGTATCCACAGGACTGCACAGTGACAATAGACTCTCTGGGTAAATCTGTCCTTTTTCTCCCTAGATTTAATCAAGATGAACACAGGATGTTTAGGAGAAAGAAATCTGATAGTCACTTCTGACAGTGATATCTGATAGTTTGGTTGTTATGAAGCTGACAACAAGGGATGCTTGTTGTGAATAATTACTCGCAACCAAGATGCTTGCCTAAATTTAAGTTGGAAACTGATTGTCCCTTTGAGTTACTTGGGGTGTGAGAGGTTTTTATTAACTCTGCCTTCTCTACCCTCGTCTCTGAGACCCCAGCAGCTGCTGCAGATGAAGTCTAACAGGGCCTTAAATACTGTTGTGCAACCAAAACTCTCCTCTGCATTTGTTTGAAAAACCAAATGGGATTTTAAAATTCAGTGAAGAGTTCCAGGTTACCAGTTCTCTTCAAAATCTCCTTCCACAGACAAAGTAGATGATAGCAGGGCTAGGACTGACAGCAGTGCTATTAAGGTAAATGGAGAAATAACGCATAGAAGAAATCATAATTTGTTCTATCCGTGGAATCAATTCACACAGATATATCCCTTATTTGAGTAAGTCAGTGTTTGCTTGCTATCATAAGCCCTGGGAAAATGTGCTGGCCCTTTAAATACACTGATGTTCTGCTGCATTTGGAGCACAGTACATGAAGGCAGAGGCCTCTGATAAGCTCTGGTTTGTATAATTATTCAGTCTTTTCCCCTGAAGGGCCTCTGCATTGCAGCTGTCCTTTTTCTTATTTGCTGTTAGCAATGTCCTAGTTTGTTCTGTGCTGCAGTCCTGCTCCTCCTCCTCCCACCACCACATCACATGCTTATACTTCATAATGAGTTCTAATTGAGCATTTGCCCTCTAACCTGCAGCCTGGGCTCAGCAACCAGCTACCCGGACAAAAAACTGCATCTGCAGCCACTCTGGCCATTTTCCATACTTCCTGCCCCAGAATCCACAAACAGACCAGGGAACTACATGACCAGGATTTCCACCTCTGTCCTCTCCCTCTGGCTGTGAGGAAGAGATGGTGAATGGCTGTTGACTGAGCTTCCAGCACAAGCTGGCACTGACCCTGCTTGGCAAGGCAGGATTTTCCAACAGTCTATGAATTGAGCATTTCCTGCAGGCAAGGACTCATACCTCTGATATTAGTATTTACTTAGTGTATGATGATACAGTGATCACAGAGCAAGGAATATCAGAGGTGACACAACAGCATTGTCCTACCTGGCCAGAACAGGAATCTCTTTTCAGCACTCCTGGGCTAAGGACACATAAACCATTTTAAATAATCAGAAATTGATTTAAATCTGTAACACATGGGTTTTTAACCTTTTTTAATAAGTGTACCTCTGGTGCCTGGGTGTGGAGCGGTTGTGGGGGGGGAGGGGGTGGCAGCAGCAGCTGCCATGTGCACGCTCCCCCCCGCCGTGGGTGGCTGGCTGGGTGGTGCCTGTGTGGCCCACAGAGAGGTGCCGCTGCTCTTGCCCTCCACCCCCCTCGGCCCTGCTCCTGGGAAGCGGTGGCACAGGGTGGTGGGTGGCAGCATTCCATCCCTGCCCACCCATGTGTATGCCCTACGGCCTTCTCAGGTACCCCCGGGGGTATGCATGCCCTGGTTGACAACCCCTGCTGTAATAGAACAGAAACTCGGTGCATATAAATCAGTTTCAAAATGGCTGAAACTGGTTTAAGATAAACCTGGCTGAATGTAGTATCAGACTTACCCAATCTGAGTCAAGCCAGTTTATGAAACTTCTGTCCCAGACCCCTTCCTTGTTCAAGTTAAATCACAGTCCCCCAGCATGCTTTGCAGCCCTGAGTTGGGCTGTACTGGCTGCTCCAGAGAGCAGAGCTGGCCCCGCTCCTCTGCTACCTAGCTGGAGCAGTGAGCGCTGGCTGACAAGGGGGTGGGGGAGGGAAAGCCTGGCTGGGGATGCAACCCAATCTGCAGGGGGAGGGGAGGAGGACTGCCCTCCCCTGCCTCCCCCCTCTGACTCCCTCCAGCAAACCCTGGCTGGGATCTGGGGCCAGGGAGGGGAGTTAAACACCCCTTCCCCCACTCCAACTTACTGCTGGCTGCAACTGAGAACTACAAATCCCAGAGGCACCTGGAAACAGGAAGAAGAAGTGATGGGTAACTCTGCAGAGTCCTGTTGCTATAATTTTGGACTGCAAATCCCAGAGACCTCAGGGGCAGTGGGAGGAGGAAGCACGCACACAGTCCATGCTGGCCAGAGAGGTGTGTTCTAGCAGCCCCCAGCTTCTGGCCTGAGCCACTACAGGCATGTGGCTGCATTTCCTGAATCAAAAGTAAATGTCTGCTCTCTACTGTTTCAATTTAATCTCTGCAGCTTAGACCACAAATACTGAATCAATTCAGCCTCAGGCTTTTTAACTGTCTGTACTTAGCCCTGGGGAACAAGCCTACCAGGGCCCTCCCAATCGTTCCCACCATCAGAGCTGTCCCTTGTGGGGGCACTTGGAGGGAGGGGAGGGGAAGAGAGAGGGAAAGGTGCTGGACACAGGTGCCCCTTATCTCTGAGCAGCCTGATGGCCAGGTAATCCTCTTAGCTACCCACACTCCTGTCATTGTCTAGAGGTTCACCTGCCGTGAACATGCTGCTCATTCACAAACCCACCCCGGTGCTTGAGACTTCAGGGGCCAAGAAACAATAAAAAAGGAGATCCTGCCCTGTTGCTCTGAGTGTCTTTGGAGGCATAAACTGAATGGCCCCCTCACAATCCCACTCCTACCCAGAAGGGCTTTCACACAGCAGCGTGCTGGCACAGTCTCTCCCTGGGTCAGAAGAGAAACCACCAAGCATTAGCTGCTAACAGGAAATACCAGGGTCACACCATGCAAGCCAGGGACAAAAATCACTGGAAATAAAATGAGCTGCCAAGTGTCTCTGAGAAGAGGGGAAAGCATAGTCTGCTGGGCTGTACAGAGTCTGTACCCTCCAAATCAATGCTGAGTGACACCTGGGAGGCATGGGTATGGCTAGGGAAGCTGGAAGACACGATTAATGCCTCTAAGGTGATTTACTGCTGCTAAATTGAGGTCAAGAGTGGTGCCAGTTGGGCACATGCAGTACAATACAGTTGAAGGACTGAGGCAGCCTCCTCCAATACTATAAATTCCATCAAGGCATGGCAGATGAGTTAGAAAAGGAAGGGTGCCCAAGGACCTGGAGTGTGACAGGAGTTACTGGGACACCAAGGGACATCACGATTGCCCTTGGACTAGGACCTGCTACACAGTCTGCTTTGTAATGTGCAGGCAAAAAACAGTAATGCAGGTCCCCTTCTGTACTGTCATGGCTGCTAACATGAATCAGCTATTTTCCATGGGCCCCCAAGGCCTTAGGTAGAAGGCACATATTTTTGGCAGTCAGAGACAAGAAAGAAAATTAGTGGCTTCCAATTTATTAACAGTGGCAGTTTGCCTAATGCTTAACCAAAGAGAAAACCCAATCAACTTCATCAGCCAATACCCTGCACAAATATCTGAAACCAGCCAGTGGAACTGCTGTTCTCTGGGTCAACTTAAAGACAGCTGTAAACCTTTCTGCTTGCTTGGACAGTTCTCTCAGAGCTCCTTCTAGCTGTGTGCAATATCTTGGTGCTCCTAGACTACACACACCAAAACCTGGGTACAAAAGGATCTGGGCCTGCACTGAACTTCTTCCAGTCCCAGCCTACAGGACCCAGCCTTTTCATTAGAAGGATTTTTGAGCAACACAGACTGCCAGATGGACCTGAAGAGTGACACTAGTGCCCCCACTGTTATTGGCAATAATAGAGGTAACCTTGGACCTGGCTTTTTCCTCAGCGTCTTTGAATCTCACAAGTTGCCATGAGAACTGGACTCAGACACTGGCACCAGCATTGCCTGCTCCCTTGAACAGATCATAGCAAGTAAACAGAGGTTTGGACACCATCTGTCCTACAGACAGCACTGACAGGCCTAGACTGGCCCTTTGCTTACAGGGGTTTCATCTGGGCACTGCCTCACCATTGTTCTGTCATTGTTTTGTTTAGTTAAATGTATGTTTTTCCAACTTTGGAAGGGGCCAAAGAGACTGGTAAGTCGTTTCCCGTTCTAGCTGGAGTCAGGTGTACTAACAGCAGAGAAAGTGGGTGAGGTGGAGGCTGGCCCTCATGCAGCAAAGTCAGATTTCCAGGTCTCTCTTTCTTCCCTCCTCAGCAAACAGGGCAGAGTTGAGGCCACAGGCCACACAGTTCAGACTTGTGTTCATACCAGAGTACAAGCAAGATGCTTCCCCAGGAGGTCTCTCAAGTGGAATGACCCAAGGAGAACAGCCAGCCCTGAGCATGGCTGGGGCTGGCCTGCTGCTCATGAAAGGGCTTGCTGCAGCCCGTGGTGCCTGGGCCCCCACGAGCATGGCAAGACATGTGGCACTTACCATCCAGAGAGAGCCAGTCATGCTGGGAAGAAGGCAGGGTTGGCAGAGCTCTGGCTTTATATTCAAACACCACCGAGTTGGAGATGATCTGATTGTTGAAAGCAACTTGCAGGGTCACAAGTCCGGTGTCATGAGCTAGGAACACAGAACAGGTATCAGAACATAGGGCTTGCTACAGGAAGGCACAAAGTGGCTCCCTCTCCAGATCATCTCCCCCACCAAAGGACAGGGTGAGTACAGAGCAGGCTTTTCAGAACAAAGTACTTCTCTGCCTAGACAGGTGGAAAATCAGAGCTGCATGATCAGTATTTTAACCATGGGGACATCCTGGAAGCTGCTAAACTAAACTGATGGACTGCTGGCAGAGGGCCAAGACCAGCCTTAAAAGATCAGACAACTCAGGATTTGTTCCTCTGGAACCACCATGAAGTTATTTTTGATGCACATCAAGCCAAATACTAAGCTCCAGTGTTTTGAAGATGCAAAGTATCCTCCTAAATGTCAGCCATTGCCACTCCAGAAGCCATCACCAACTGGAGTTTTCCTAAAGGTTCCTGCCACCTTTTGACCTCCAGATCACATTAAGAGAGATGCAGTGACACAGTGTGGATCCCTGCAGAGGCTGCATCTGTTGGTACCTTCTTACCTGGTGGTTCCCTATACTAATGTATAATGGGCTGACTGATTGTAAAACAAGTCAATACAAACTTGATCATTCATTAGTGATCACACTGGTCAGTAAATGCTTGCTGGTTCCTATGAAGCTCACAAACTTCTCAGTTATCTCCCCCCACTGAAGCCTGGGATGGACTTGTAAAATAAACACTATTGCAAGGATAAAGCCAAAGGGAAAGAGCCCCAGGCCAATACTAGACCCCAGATGAGTGAAACAGCAGCTCCTTCTCAAAGGATTTACAGATGGAAATAACTAAACAGAGTCTTTTGGGGTAAGGGTGGAAGTCTTTCTTGTGGGATTGGTCCATGTGCCTGCCCATCTATCTGTTGACCTATAGCAGCAGATGTACCAAAGGCCAAAGGCAAGGCAGCTCCATTGCCAACATCCTGGAGCTTGTTGCTGGGTCCTCACTCATCCCTGGGCCAAATGGGCCATTCTTGGAGGATCTTCCACAAGGGTCATGCACACAAGGTGCTACTGGCCCCACCATTCCCTGAGAACAACCCCTGCCACCAAGCTCCCCATCCTATCCCATCATAGGAGAAGGGGTTACCTCCATCACTGTCAGTGTGGCACACAACATACCAGCAGAGCTTGCCAGAGCCAGAAGAGCATCACTGTGCTCAGTGCTCTCATTATGCTGTCAGCCAGCTGCTGCCTGCTCTGTCCAGTTGTGATAGCTCAGTAGTGTAAGCTTCCTGCAGGCGGAACCAGGCAAATCCCATGCATGGGAAGGACTACCTGGAATATTGGCTCAGAGGGATCTTGGCAGAGCTGCTGCACCATGCATGCAAGGCTGCTGCTTTGCAGTGGGACCCATGTGTGCTTCCCATCATTCCCACCCTACTACACTGGCAAGCATCAGCCATCTCTTCAGTTCATGTCATTACGCCCTACAATCACACTCTGGGCTTGGTTGACTGCTGCATGATGCTATATGACTGTGGTGCACACCTGCATGCTCAGCATTCAGCTCATGGCCTGAGATGCCCCACGACTGTCCCTGAGCCTCAGAGAATGGTAAAGAATGTGGAACATGGCTGGCCAATGCTCTGCTGGCACAGCTGGTCTTCAGGGAGCAGCCTCTGCATGTGAGAGGGGTGTTCCTTACCTGGGCAGTAGCAGCGCAGCACCCCTGGCTGTATTAAAGATGCAGGCACTGAGATCTGATCAAACAGACAGCTGTAGTTACTGTTAGCCTCTTGCCATGGGCCAGTGATTAGGACTTTCACTCCCCCCTGCAAGGGAAGGAAGAAAGGACACAGTATTATAAAAGGAGCCCTCCCTGGGTGCACATGCACCTTGCCTTGGAACTTGGGGCCAGAAGAAGAGCACCAAAGCAAGGAAGCAGTATTCTTGCACCAAGCTGATGAACAGTCTTTGCTCTCAGTAGTGTTGCCCAGCCACCAGAAAAGTCCTCTGCCACAGACACTGCTCTTGGGCAACGTTGCCCTTCCATGGCCTTAAGCCTTTGTAGCATGGTATCCACAGAGCTCTGAGGCCTTTGAAATTTACACCAGGCCCCCTTCCTGCCCGTCTGCCTCCTACCCCCTCTCCAGCACATACAGCCTGGCACTGTGTTGCACTACCTTGGGCCCAATCCAGCCCTGCCCTACCAGCCTGCCGCCCCCAGGGACATACATTGTTGCCCTCTGACAACAGCCTGCCTGCAGAGAGAAAGTGAGAACAAGTGGCCAACTGGGAAAGGTGCCCAGAGTTGGTGTGATGGGATCAGTCTCTCTCATCATAGGTGTTGTAGCAGCCAGCACCAGTGCCAACATTTCAGAAACCCAAAGGGAACTTCCCTGCAAGAAGCTGTGTGAACCCAGAGTTACAATCTTAAAGTTAAGACACAGAAATCCACCTCCCGACTTGGGAGTCTGTTCTGTTTGACTGTCTCTCCAGGGAATGCTGTGGGTTTTTTCTAGATTTGCAGCACCAGATTTCTAGGTCTCTGAATGTGGAGTTCAGCAGAAAGGATGGCAAACATGCTACCCAGAACCCTCAGTGCTATGGAGATTGCAAGGCCTTTGGTGAGTACATGGTACAGCCCTGTGGCAGAATACCATCTCTGTCTCTCCCCAAACTCTGCTATCTGACAGTTTGGTTACTATGGTCACTGCAAAGGGCAGGCACCTCTTCCCAATCTCTTCAGGTAACCCTGTGTTGTAACCTGAGCTGGATACATTCCTGAGGGAGGGGGGAAACCTGCTCCCTCTGCCTACATGACTGGCCACACATACCTGGGTGGGGGGCTTAAACTCCCTACTGCCCTAAGCAATGCCAACATGACTGGGAACGACTGCTACAAACCTAGCATGGGCACTGCAGACATACTGCTACATTTCTGCTCCATGCAGAGTGACTGTACAATAAAGCAGGCGAAGCAGTTTCTTCAATAAATTGACGGCTGATGAACTACGGAAATGAGTTCTGGCAAACACTGCTTCGAGACCAAAGAGAGGAAGAGGAAAGTGGACAAAGAGAAGAGTGAAGAAGGATCTCAAGGAAGGGGGCTAAGTCTGCCAGTCTACCCAGCAACCAGTGATGCAATTCAAATTGGTTGGCTGGCAGCCAACAGTTGCTGGCCTTCATTGGATCAGGTAAATGAGGTCATAAGTGAAGGACTGCCCAGGAGGAGGAGCAGTAACCATGATGAAAACTCAGAGAAAAGCTGGACCATCTGAAACTCTCTCTCTCTCGAAACTTATGATCAATGAACTGTTTGCCTTCAGAGGGAATCTCTATCTCCCTCTGGATGATACTTATGAGTAAGCTACCTGAGATCTAACTAGATATATAGCTTGCAGTAACTCAGATGCATGATCAAAGGCTACCATGCCACTGTTTGCTCTAAGGTATTTCTCTGACATTGCTCTACCCTGTACCCTATTCCAAACCTACTCCTTCTAACCTATAAAGTTCTCCTTTGTACCTAGTGTGGGAGACTTATTGGGAGAAGGTCTAGATTATGCCTTGGGGTTCCCTTGGTTCGGCTGACTAAGGGAGACCACCATTTGTGCTTCAGACTGAGGGATGCACCCTGAGTTCTTGTAGTGAGTCAAGTACCCTCAAGGCCAACTAGGCCCGTGTTTCCCAGAGGGCGCAGGTCAATGATTATTCCAGACTCTGGGTGGTGGCAGCATTACCCCCAGGCTTGCGGGTGGGCTCTAGGAAGGGGGTCGGCCAGATGTGAGGTGCCCCCAGGGAGGCACTTGGAGCCTGGAAGGTAGTCGGGTGCAGTGAGGTGGATGGCTCAACACAGGAGCACCCTGTACTGGCCCATCACAGGCCCTGCTTTCCCATCCCAGGCTGAGTAACCCTCAAGTGTATTCTGGCATGAAAAGAACACTGCTGACACCAGGTAAAGTGAGGTGGCTGGAGCAGGGGACAGAGAAGGGAAGTAGAGAGGCAAAAGAATTCTACCAGCTGTCCCAGCAGGACTGAAAATGTGCCTACGGCACCAGCCCCCATCCAGCACTCACCATACACAGAACCTGTTTGCTGAGTCCAATTCACTGTGCTATCAAGCAATGGCAAGGTTCAGCTCCACTTGCAAGCAGTTACAGTGACATCCAGTTAGGGCTATGTGAAATTTCGATGGATGTTTCATTTTGAAGATGTTTCGACCTCAAAACAGTGAAATCAAAATGAAACGAAATAAGGGTGCTCAAAACATTTTGAAAGTTTCGAAGCTGGGCTTTCTTGCAGCTAACAGAAACTAAGAAGAGGGAGAGGGGAAGAGGGGGAAGGACTGCTCTGATATTGATATCTAGCTCCCAGTTCAATTCCCCAGCTCTGATCACTTCCCCAGCTCTTCCCGGGGCGGGGGGAACGTGGGCCCCTGATCTGCGTGCAGGGTTTCAGCAGGCTGCTGCTGCAGACTGGGGCCAGCGGCAGCAATTCCGTTTAGCTTGCGCCAAGCGCTGTGAAGACTGTGGTGCTGCTGCTGGCCCCAGCCTGCAGCAGCAGCCTGTTGAAACCTGGCATGCAGATCAGGGGCCTGCACCCCGCCAGGAAGAGCTGGGGGAAGTGAACCAGGGACTGAAGAATTGAGCTGGGGGCTGGGGAATTGAACTGGAAGCTAGGGGAATGTTTGGGTCCCTGAACATTCCCCCAGTTCCAGGTTAGATTCCCAGCTCCCCGATCTTTCCTCCAGCTCTCTGATTGCTTCCTCCTGCTTTTCCCAAGGGGCGCAAGCCCCTTGATGCAGGATGACAGCAGGCTGCTGCTGCCAGCTGGTGATGGCAGCGGCTCTGGGCTATTTCCCCTGAAATCTTGTGCACAGATCTGGGGGCCTGTGCTCCCCCGGGAATAGCTAAGCGAATGATCAGAAGTCTGGGGAATTGAACTAGGTACTCTGGCTTACAGGTGGGTCCGCCCCAGCTCATGGACAGCATGCGGCATCCTGCCAAGCCACGCTGCACCTGCGCCATGGGACAGCTGCCACGCAGGTGCCAGGTGGGGGGTGTGATTCCCGCTGCCCTGGGGGGCTCTGCCATGAGCCCCCAGAGGCCCCAGTCATTGCTGCCAGAGCCAGTGAGTGGTAGTTTTTAAAGCTCTGGACTCACCGGCTGCAAAGCATGTGATGATAGCATGCTGCTGCTGCCAGCTGGGGCCAGTGCCAGCACCTAAGTCTCCCCAGCACAGCCCGCAATGAGTGCTGGGAAGAACCCAGCACTGGTGCTGGCCCCAGACAGCAGCAGCAGCCTGCTGTCATCCTGCACACGGATCTGGGGGCCCGTGTCCCCCCGGAGGACTGTGGGGCTGTGCTGGACTCCTCCCAGGGGAAGCAGGCCCCCAGATTTGCGTACACGAAGGCAGCATGCTGCCACTGCCAGCAAGTGATACGAGTTTTGCTTTGAACAGTTTGAGGTGCAGTTCACAAAAACCCCTGCACCCATCTCCTTTAAACTTGGCAGACTTCATGTCCTCAGAAGGGGCTACCATCCCTGCAATTTTTCATCCAAATCAGGCATGAAATGACAAAGTTATAGGCATTTTCATGATTTCCCATTATAGCCTATGGGCAAAACGTTTAAACACATTGAAACAGTGTTGAAACAGCAAAAAGGTTTTGACAAAATGAAACGGAACAGTGCTTCGAAACAGCGAAACAAAACGCTGCCCCTTTGAAATGGCAAAACAGAAGTCAAAACAAAATGGTGCTGTTTCGCAGAGCCCTACATCCAGTGGCCAATTAGTACATTGCAAGCGGCACTCGCTGCAGCTAAGAGCTGGGAAGTCAGATCTATCCAAGGGACATGTCCAGCCAGCAGAGCTCCCCTGGATCCCAATGCAAGCCCATCAAGTGCAGACTTTGTTATGAAGGCCAGGCAGACTGGACCAGAGTCAGGTTTGGAAAAACAATACTTTTCAGCATACAATACAGCATTTTCCTTTGAGGTGGCTAGGATGGGCATGCTTTAGCTGAGTGCTAGTGAAAGTGATGCAGCTGTTCGTCTTTCCAGTTGGGTAGCTTACCCAGCACCTTACAAACCACTGGATCAGAAGCTGGAATTCCCCCAGCAAGCAGTAGTCAGGTACGTGGCAAGCTGTTTGGGGGAGATATATGTGTTGCATGTTTGTGTTAGAGCCCCATATTGCAGCCTGGGACTTAAGTACTCCACAATAGGTACATTAAGTTAGACTGCTCTGTAGGCACAGATGAAGGCACTAATTTACACAGTATCCCCAACAGCTCCAGCTGGCCTATATGCCAGTATGGCTTAGAGCAGGGTTGTATGAACCAGAAACTGTCTTCTGTTGCTTGGACATCTGGGGTGCTTGTACATAAAACATTCTCAGCCTTAAGAACAAAGTGCAGGGGTATTTGAATTTGATCTTTGCTTCCTGGGAAGTCTGAAGTTTCAGGAAGATCAGCAGCTCTGGAGTGTTCAAATGATCAGTTGTCCAAAGGGTTTATTCTGCAAGGCGTCCATCTTCGCAAGAAAATGATACAAGGACTGCTGCAAAACTGAAAGCAGCCAGGCTTCCTGTACAACTATAACCTGCTCCCTGACAGGCAGAGAAGCATGCTGAGGCTTCTGTGCAGTAACATGCATGGATCCATGAAATCTTTTCCTTGGATATCTCCTGTCTCAATACTAGCATGTCCTAGCTCAGCCAGATTAGCACCTCTTCCTTTTCTGACTTTGGGTGTAAAACAGCAACAAGCAGGATCTCAATAGCTGCTTTATATTAGCAGAAGATCAAGAGAGACCCTGCCTCTATGGTA